GCGTGTTATTCACTTGTGTATTGCTACGCACAATTTCGGAGCAGAAGTAACATATTCCAACATAAGTGTCGCTCCACCTCACAAATTGGAGCGTCAGACACGTTTCTAATAATGATCTACGAAATTCAAAGTACGAGGTTGGGTTCTCTTCGCTAAGTTTCGTGAAAATCGGTCATCTGGGTAAAAGCTGACATGTACACGCGCATGCGCTAACAAACATCATGGCTGTCTCATTTCTGCTTTTCTTTCCCAAGGAAGGAAAGTATAAAAGAAATGAAAGAAAAAGGTGTAAATAAATAAACAAAAAAATTAAGAAATTATTCAAATATTCAAGAATAAAGGGAGAAAAACAAAAAGAATAAAAACCGAAGACGAAGATGAAAATTAAAAAAGGGAAAAAATAAATGCCCACTGAAAGAAGAAGCTATTATCAGCAACATGCAGACAAGTCCTAATAAAGGAACTGATACATTCAGCAACTCGTCGACATATTTCATTACATTTTAATTAACAGCTATTACTTCAGATTACCTGCATCTCTGTCAGCTCAGCTTTTGCAATAAATTACATCACTTCCTTGTGCTCCGTCCTGCTGACGAGTGGCGTCTGTTACATTGTCGCTCAGGCCTTATACCCGTATACATCCTTCTCATCCCTTCCCTGACGTCACAAAGTTCGCCAGTGCATCGGTAATCGTCTGGACTTGTATCAGGAAAATACACTCTTCGAATCGCAGCCTGCCAGAGGATTTAGGGGTATTTATCAGACTCTGTAGGCAAATCTGATCATGAAATCTTTAAACAAGTCACAGGTTATTGTAGCTATAATTTTCAAAATGACCTCAACAAAACAATTTTCATCTTCAGTTGTCCCATCCTTTCAACAGAAGGGCAGACCGGATAACAGACAAAATGCACAAATAACCTTGTTCAGACAATTGCTAAATGACAGCCTCCATTATAGTAGCTGATTAGTGGGTTAAAACGGAAATTGTCTCCAACAGATGGCTCACCTTCATTTCAGGACAAACCGAAATGTAGTTCATTAAGCCTAATTAATAATCTAGCCTACCTTCCAAAACAGTGCAAATTTACTTGCGCTTTGAATCAACTCGCGTCATTTGTTCATTAATGAAACAGGTGTAAGAGATGATAGAGTAGGTTAGTGTAGCGGTAACTTTCTTGACTTTTTCAAAAGGTAATCGGTCCAAATGTCGGCGAGGCTACAGACTGTCCGAAGGAGTTGTCTTTCTCAGTCACTAAGCGGAAATTACGGTAGAGTACTTTCAAATAGGTTAACAAATCTCTACCAATTTTCAATAGTTATTTATACGACACTACGGTAGAAAACTATAAAAATAATAATATCACAGTGTCCAATAAAAATGCCTCGAAGGTGCGTAATGAAACCGAACTGGAGTATGACTGGGACACCCGTTATAAGAAACTACAGCATTGGTCGTTATGTCTGATTGCGTCAGATGCTGTTTTCAAACAGCTCTAGCAACGCAATCTGTGGTCATTCGTCGATTATGACACTGGAATGAGGCCGGTAATGAAACGAATGTGAGCTGTGGTTGCACACATACACTCCCATAATCACATGTTGTTGAAAAGACGGCTGTGTTGGGGTTAGTCGGACGTCACTGCGACGAAATGCTGGCCGGCCACATGCATGGGCAATAAGCTCTGTGCCTGTGCCTTCAGTCCGTCCTCTCAACTTCGTTTCTTATCCTTCCTTTTCCTTCTGCTATCCCTTTATTTCAAAATTTTACTTTCTCTTTCTCCCTCATATTTACCATCTCCTTTTTATTTTTATTTTATTTCCCTTCATCAATTTTATCTTTAAAATTCTGTCGTTTAAACTTTGTTTCTCTCTTTCCCACTAAACAAATATCTAATCGATTTCATAAAATTTAGCAAAGACTTGAAGTGCTAAATTCAACTCGATCTGTTCATGCGTATAAATCATACGCGGCCAGTTAAAAAAATGGATTGTTATGAAAGATGCATAATAATAACAACTGTAAATTGTTTTCGGACAATTCGCGAAGCGGGAAGAGTTAGTTGGTTAATAATTCACCAAACGCAATTAGCGCCTATTACACACTAATTGGCAGCTGGCGGAGAGAAGTACCCAACAGGTTCGATGTCCTGGTGATTAGTCGAAACAACGAACGGCAGGTTCCATACATAATTTCTTATATAGTTACAGTTCATTAACATCTGCGTGCAGAGTTACAAAGATATTTTTGGACTCGTGTTGTTTGCTTACTCATAAAATATTGAAGGAACACTGCATGACTCAAATCGTTACGTGTCTCTTGTCACTACTGTGGTGACCTATTTAAGTCGTTGTGACTTTCAGTGGTTTCCTTATGGTCAATACGTAAACTAAAATCTAGTAAAAATAACATGTATCAAGGACTCATGTTGTTTACGGTGATTAATGTAGTCACAGTGGGTTTGAAGCCTCGTCAGCTCCAACAGATATTTGATCCTGAAAACGGTCGTGGCCTACTTTAAGGCATAGGTGACTTATACACGGGGGTTGCGTTCCTACAAATCGTCGCGTATACTGAAAACGCGTAAAAAAGTAAACGGGGATTGTCAATGTTATATTACTCAAACGAAGTTTGTAAGGGGAGTGGTAATCCCACAGGGCTTCTGTGAAAACCTCTACAGCTGGCAGGGATTCCAACCTAGGACGATTCAAATACAAAGTAGAGGTTGTGGTCATATAGAGTATTACGATATTTCGTTATCTGAACCGTGGTCCACTGAATAAAAGTCAGAGGACTTCACTGCGCGATGTGTGAGGCAACTCGAAAGGCAGGTAAACTGTTGCGTTAAAGTGAACAATTAGAATAATCAATCTGCTGGTACAAAGTGCGCAAGACCCACACTTCGCTGTGCAATACAGCACAAAGAAAGGAGTTTCACTAAACCTACAACGCAAACTATGCAAAATTTACTGAGTCATTCTCTTTGGGGTATAGGATACGCATTCAGTTTCGTTAATTTGGATCTCGCCATGTACTCTGATGTAACATACGCTAACACCTGAAACGGACCAAGGTAATTCGTTGACGAAAACAAACGAATATGAGATGGGCGGGGCATAACGCCTCATGGATAGATGAAATGTTAAATGCACACAAACTTTTAATCGGAAAGTCTGAAGGAAATAATTGCCCGCCATTTACAGAACTCGAAGGCTCGTTGTCGTATTCACAAGGATCTTGTGCCAGATGAATCCATATTTATTTGACTGGTTCACCTGACACATAGGAGTTCATTTGCGGGCTCGTGTGAAAACGATAACGAGCCTATGGGTCCCATAACCAGCGAGGAATATTTTGATTAGGTGAGTGATTATTCACTTTTCAGAAAAATCAATGCTCCATGAAATTTATCGGTTACAAACAGGAAGTACTTTGTCACTTTTATTAAACAGTATATCAACAAAGTGAGACACTTATATTTTTAAAACGAAATATCATTTTTAAAGTATGTATAAATGAAGACAGTAAACATTTGTAACTAGCGAGAGATGATTTCCACCACCAGATCGAGTAAGTTTTGTAACTGGTACATGAAAGTAGACAAAGAATTAGCTACTGGATTTTAATTAACATGAAAACGACATACTTGTCTTCTTTCACATATGGCGAATTTCGTGGTTCCGAAAGATTTAAAAGCACTTTGTTCTCATAAGTCCTATGCTTTACGCGTGGAAAATACTAAACTACTTTGCCAAAGTCGTACGCTAAAACGACCACAAGCTTGTTAAGTCAGGTTTGGTTATGTTGGTTTAGGCTGAGTTAGGTTAGCCTAGGTTGGGTTAGATTAAGTTCGGTTGGTCATCGGACTTGCCAGCTTCGTGTCATGTGGCGTACCGTGAAAGTAGCTACACTCGATCTTTAAATCCAGTCTCTTATCTCCCAAGCGCGTGTCAGGAACTTCACCACAAAGTTACCCAATCTATTTTATTCTACTTTTCTTATATTATTTGTAATACAGTCAACATCATACTAACTTTACAGTAGTTGACGAAGTTTTGTAAAACAATCTATCAAATACAACTACCACTGTAAAGTTACGTAAATAGACGTTACATAATGAAATGACGGTAATTTCATTGGTTGTACTGTGAATACCAATTCAAAATGACCGCTTCGAAATCACTGTCTTGAGGCAGAACATAACTCAGCAGCATTACGTTTGAAAACTTGGGTCACTGACTTAGAGATAAGTAGGAAAGGTGACGTGTTCAAATTAAGAGGCAGAGAAAATAATGGTCTGCTGAAACGTTACGTTTCTATAACTGCAATTTTTTCCAGCAAAAAACTTACCTAATCTACGAGGATATCGCAACGTAGTCAGTGACCGATGCTTCGAATTTCTCGTTTCCCTCCAATTTCTATATAAACTGTGCTATTTTGTAATACCAAGATGACGACATGTGTATGTATTTGAATAGAAACACATAATTTGTTAAATATCTTACGTTTTATAAGAAATGAATGTAATTTAAGTGACAGAGGAGTACATGAAAAGGACCGTTATAATTTGTATCTTCTCTTGATATTAATTCAACAAGGAGGAAATGGGTTGGGCAGGTAGCTCGCACGGTGGAGAAGAATCAACGAGTGAAAGATGAATTGTACACGCCTCAACTTCGGTTCGGATACCAAATTCCCCACAAGCCTGCCCAAAACAACTTTCATCTTATCTGTTAGAGTTACTAAAGGCTTCCCATATAGGCACACGCCTCATGCTAACCTGCAAATTATTTAAAAGTTCACCCATTACAAAATGAGGAAATATAACATTACTGCGCTAAACGAAGTGTAAAAACAGATATACTTTGTTATTAAAGCAAATATATTTGTCTGTTGTGCTACACATTGCTTGTTTGTGCTTTCACTTTCAATGACATTGCGAACTGAAACTGTAGTTTGAATTGACGCTGTATTCTGAACCACTTCTCTGCGAGGTTTGCTGGAGTGCAGATCCAGCCCATTCGTCCTCCAAACCTTACAGGGATTGCCGTCTACTGTCTCTCTGGTCAGCCAGTCACGTGACGTCTACGGCGAAGGTGAGTTCATCTTTATAATTATTTCACGTTAGGGATTATGGTTATATTGTCATTAATTTTGACAAACGACGTCTTGGAAGACTTTAACGCATTAGAGCGTGAGAATGTGGTGAATGCAATTTTCTGGAGAATGAACGAGACGTTGATTTTATACTATCAGAAGGGTACAGCAAGAGGATGAACTGTGGATCAGGACACGGTTGTGGGAAGAGGTATTACTGAGGTGTGTTTCTATGATTGGCATATAACCTGTTCCCTCAGAACAATGCATGTATCCCATGAAACAGAGAGTGTAACCCACACATCAGTAGCAATACACAGTGGGTCAGAAATAGCATTATTTTGAATGACGCGTACACAAAGTCTGTCAAAAGCAGACGCTGCCATCGCAGTTCAAAACACAAGACCTGATGAAATATACCAACGAGTTTTATGGCAGTGAAAATACCTATGGTAATCTATGTTATTAAAACTCCTTATGGACTAGTAGTTTGATAGAATTTCCGGTGGAACATACTGCCTCCATATCCAGGAATTCTAAGTTGCAGCGACACATACCTATCTGAATAATTAAATAATATTACTGATATGTATGAATTATCATTTCACTTTGTATGATTTGAGGTTTTCACAGCGGTGAGTATGAAGATTTCTGTCTTCTGGGTTGTTGCGCTGTTTGCCAAAGTTTCAGAGGTCATACTGCCTCCGTCATCAGGGCGATGAATCGCAACACAATGCAACAACTTACAAGACAGAAATCTTCATCACTTCACTTGTTAATTATCTGTGTCAGGAATTTCTTCTAAGTAACTAAATATTATCAACGAATTTAAAGAAGTCACGTACAGAGAATTGTGATCACAATTTAATAATTTAGAAAATATAATGATATATTTTTCACAGACGTTCTGTTTACAATATATCTTCACACCCAGTTCAGTAAGAAACGAACGTGTTAATGGTGACCGTATGTTTCTTTAGGTCTCGTACCAGTGTGCTATTACGTTGTCAGTGAAATCAACTTCCAGTTACGTATAGAACGAGGACAATACAAAGTAGTTACAGAATCTATTGGCGGAACAAATTGCAGTCTGGGAACACAAGGTTGTCAGGAAATACCGTAATCCCTGAAAAGGATATTACAACATGAGCACGTTTACTGTAAATTAATTCAATTTAACGATGCTTTGTCAGTGACATTAGTTATAGGTCGATGACTTTGTATGGTTTCTTTCTCTCGTGTATTCATCTCTCGTCCTCCCTCATCTCCTGTATCCTTTTTCACCTTTATAATTTCCCTCATAAGTACTTATAAAAACTGCCTTACTCCTACAAAAACGAAAAGCGTTCTAATTCCATGGATCAGACATACTTCAAAATCTAACAAACTCTCAATGGGCAAGATATCCATCTCCTTTTATGTGACCCAAACTTCATTCTTCATCTCTTCTTACACCTTTGTATCTCCTCCTTTCGAAGGTTTATGATCTATTTTAAGACATTTGGTAGGGATTTACTTGGACGAGTGATTAGCCCATCGCAAGGTCTCTACCAAAGAGATGGGTGAGAAATGGCCGCTGAATTTTGCTTACAAAACATCCCAAAATTCATTACCTTGCCAAAATTTTACATAATAAAACATAATAGGAAAAACAAAATACAAAACTATTTTCTCATTTATTTAGAACTTATCTTGACGAATACATCAGCCTTCAGTGACATGCATTTCTTGGTTTTAATTAGTGCGTACGCATCTTAGTTTCGCAGTATTTATTTATCTCATAAGCGCATAAATTGTTTCCTTTTACGTTGGACAGGAAACAATCATGAACTTGAATGAGTGTGACCCCTGTAAGCTTCTTAAATATATCCAAGATTCATCACCTACGTTATGCAGTTCTACGTTTGAAGGCAAAATCTCAGCGTTGAGAAAACACACGAAAAGTCTGAATGAAGTTCGACGGTCTCCAAAGCGGGAGTCAAAGCTGGGATCTCCGGAATATGAAGCAGAAATGTTATCTACTGAACCATGTACTTCGCTTGAAGTGTTAGCATTCTTGTCATTTAACGATGTTGTATCAAATAGACTACATAAGCTGTGTTGCCTGAAATTAAATATGAGGGATGATGTATCATCTGTAGGCTGGATAACAAGCTGTTAGTGACCAAAATTCCATAGAGACATTTCCTGAAAAGGGTATGTACTCCCTCCTGGAGTACCTGTAATAAATTAATTTTTCGATGGTATAAAAAAAAGTCGCAACTTTAAGAAGGAAACATTCACTGCGCTGAGAGTATAGCCTGTTGATGCTAGAGAACACAACGAAAAATTAGACAATATATGGCCAACGGCCGGAACTCCAAAGCAGACCGGAAGTTGAGAGTCACAGAGTACGAAAGAGATCATCTATTGACCTAAATTGTGACCAGAAGATTATACACACTATGTTATATTGTTACATCATACGATTTCAATACCAGTTTAAAGCATAATAGACGAGTCAAAGTAAAAAATATCTGCTTGTTTCTACACTAGACTTATACAACTGGAAACATTTAAAATCAACAATAAGTTCCTTACAAAATTTCTTGTCTCTTTTACAGGAAACCTCCTCTTATTTCGCATTGCCAGTTTCAGTTGCTGGACAGACTTAGTGCTTTTCGTAAGCTGCAAGCGAACAGCAAAATAATAATTTTACTTTCAATCAGACCGAATGCTCACCGAACTGAAAGAAAGCTGATTTATAATGGGTTGAATTCAAAACACAGTATTGTTACATAAGAAATCGGAATTGAATTTCGGGTCAAGTTAAACGAGTTCAAGTACTGGGTTAGTCCACCTTTTCAACAGAAAGTTGTTTAGCTGAACGCTTCTAAACTAGAAAAGTGGCAACGTTTTCCACACTTATCTCTTGTGCGATTTGAGGTGGGTTGGTAGTCTGCATTTTTATTCCAGTTACCTTGGCGTGTTATGTCACTCCGAAGGAAGGAGATTATAAAAAGAGCCAGCATCAGACAACCTGTAAGACAGAGTGATCACTAGTGCGGTCAGAGGCACATCGCGTGCTTACATGAACGTATAAAGTGGTAAGTTGACAGTGAACTGTGAAAGTGAACGAGCTAATTATATCAATCATTATTACACGCTGTTGTTTTAATTCTGTCTTGTTTTAATTTATAACCAGATCGGCGCTGCAGCTGACCACTCACTCCCATCTAGAGCCGTATTTAAGAATGACTAGGAGCCATACCGTCTCTCCCTCTAAGCGTCTGCATGGAGTGTACAGCTTTACTTTCTTAAATTTTATAATAGATATCTAACAGCTTTGCTTAGTCTCACTTATGTTCCTTAAAACGTAACCCTAATTGGGACAATACTTGTAAGCTTCAGTGACATCAACGTAAAAAGACAAACGAGTATTTTTTTTATAAATTTTCATTTGTTAGGAAGAAATTCTGAACAACTTTACAGCAGACGTGCAACAACTTCTCAAAGACAAACTTTTCCTGTGTTCTCGAATTTTGTTACCAGTCGGTGTACTGTAGTCTTAATATGTACTTCCATGTGAGCTTCGATGCTAAGTGATTTTCCAGAATGGGCACATGTTCCGATCGTGATCACACTGTGTTTGAACTTTCACAGCATTTGTGTAGTTTCCGTTTTCATCGGCCTAGCAACATTGCTGACCTTGACTGCAGTGTCACGAGGGTGGGGGCTGATAGAGTTTATTACACGTGGGTAGACCTGCTTATAATTTCTTCATTGCACCGAATAACTTCAATGTTATTAAAATGCGTGTTAAACTGTACATTATGTATTTATTAACAGTTGATTATGTAATTATATGAGAATATTACTACTGGATGAAAACGTCTACTAATTATGATTAATTGAACAGCATATCAAGAGCAGAACTACTTGTTTATCAGCTCTTGTAAATCTGTTGCAACTTTGGTCAACCTTCCAACTTGCTAACAGAAAAAAAAATTGTCAGTATGGCAAATCATGACGAAGCTATACAAATGCAGATGCGTAAATTACAATTACTAAAACGTATTGAAACTTAAAGGGGTTTACGTCACAACATACAATAACTGAATCTATTTCAACACCTTATAGTCTAAAATTAATATAAAAACGGATGTTTCATATGGTGTTTTGATAACGGTTATTTCTGTTACTTTAACACACAATTCCACCAAGCTGATCTAACTAAGGTACGGCAGAATAGCTCATCAAAAAACAGAATTAAAAACATAATATATCGTTAATTATTAAATTATATACCTTTAATTGAACCTTTTCCAACACCTGTTGAATATATAACGAAATACAAAGAAACAATGCGTGATTATACACATTGTGTAATTAGTCTTGTAACAACAGGTTTGTATACGCAAATAAATAAAAATAATTTCGAATAGGCAAAGTCGTATAGAATGCGTCTGGAAAAAGTGTAGGACTTCAGCACAAACAATCACTCCTATGCGTAACCTAACCAATTCATCTGTTAGTTACACTCTTGTTTTGCTTCTAAAGGCCACATGTATACGCGTCCTACATTGTAAAGTTGGTTGCCAGCTACAATATTACAAAACTGGAACATTACGAGATGCTCAAAATGTGTTTTTATTGAAAATTACATAACTGGCGGTCACTGGAAATCGTGTTTACTTACTATAACATGTACATACTAGAATAACTCCACAGTGTAACGTATATTTAAGCCACAGTAATGGAAATTTATCGAAGGTATTAACGGATACAACTAACTTTCGTCGTTTAGTTTGTAATTCTAGAGGCCAGGTGCAAATGTAGACGAGATGTACTAGGGTTTTATGTACTTATTTCATGGATCTTAACTTTTAAGAGATTTTTTAAACAAACGTAAAATATATTAAAAGATTTATTTTACCCTTCTTAATGAAATTAAGTCTAGGTCTGTGTGGTTAATGACATTATCAGCAGAATAAATTCATAAATATATTGCAACCATTTATTCTTTAAATTCAAATATACACTTTAAATGTTATAACCTTAACAAGACACTACATAAATTAATTTTTAATTATCGTTTAAACCAGGTAGATTCCGGTTAATCTGCCCCTGGATAATTGAGAGTTTACTGTCCCTCATATAATTATTTCTATGATTAGCGATTTTAGAGAAATGTCATGAAGCTAAGAATTGAATCTCATGTTAGATGTGACTTAAGATTTAAGGTTTTCACGGCGGTGAGTATGAAGATGGCTGTTTTCTGGGTTACAGAGTCGTAAATTCTGGTAGAGGTCTATGGACATTTAAAAAATGTTAGCTGCAACCATCTTCAAGGCTCGTCGCACCAGTAAAAGACGGTAAAATTCTATCAGACTACACTGCGCAAGAACCCAGAATACAGCTATCTTCAAACATTAAATTTCTATGACATCATTTAGTGTATACTTTTCATATACATTTTCACTGAATTCTACTAAGTACTGTAATTATTCATAGGGTGGATATATTGTTTTAGTTACGGGTTAATGTTGATGAGGACAACAACTTTTAATCTATCGTTCCAGAGGCTGGAGTTAGGATCATGGTGGTACCGAGAAAACTGCTAAACGAGGTGAGAATGAAGACAAGGCTGTTCATATGTCCGTCTGGGCAGCGTCCTCACACCACGAGTCTTCAACCCACTGCTGTTGCCGTCCTGGAAACGGAACTCGAGGACATCAGGGGTGCCAAACCTTACAGCAAAGTGCCAGGACCTAGAGAGTTGCCACTTGTTGGCAACGCATGGAGGTTTCTGCCTTACATCGGTAAGCGGAGACATTTTTAAATTTGTACTGAGTTTACATTTTGGGCTGATTTCCGAAATCACAAACACTTGTAAAGCATATACTGTAGGCGTGTCTTTCCAGTTCCGCCCTATAAAATTTGTAACAACGAGCCTGGAGTAATGGGAGTTGGTAAAATTCCGAAAGAAATTACCTCTTTATATTTCCCTTTCTAACGAGGTAGACAACCACGCAAACCTAACACCCACTTTCGTGCAATTCAACAGACACGCAAACAATTGAATGACAGGTTTTTAAATAACATAATTATTTTCAAAAAGTCACCCCCTAAAGCTGCATATACAGGCCTGCAAGTTACACAAGAAAGATGAGATAGCGTCTTGTGAAAGACGCAGATGCTTAGCACATAAGCAAATCGAGGAATGTGTCCTTCAGCGCTTGATTACGTCACAACAAACGAAAGTAGTTTTGAATTTACATGGGAGATAAAACAAGGTGTATCTTGCGTGAATAATAACAAATACAGATTATGATGAATGGTCTGGAGGGTGAGGTATGGGGTGATACCCGTAAATAAACCAGGGGTTTTTCAGTACAGCCGAATATCTTTAATCTAACCTGCTCAGTACGTACGTACTAACATATGGAAAGACAGAATACAGAATTTGAAGGTTAAGTTTGTTTAATTTATCTGTCATGTAACAGTGCTGTTTTTCAACTAAACGATTCAGCAAATGTTAAGGAGACTTTTAGACACGCAGGTGTGTATGACGACATTGACCTCACTAGTTCAAGGTGCTGAACTTTAGCTTATGTTACTACGCTCCACACAACCTGCAAAGCTTGTCGTTTCATGTTGAAAGGTCACTTCTCCATCGAGAAGTTGGATGTAGTCATGTGGTCACTTTACAAAGACTACGGCAAAGTAGTGAAAGTAGGGGGTCTGATCGGACACCCTGACCTCGTATTCGTGTTCGACGGCGATTACATCGAGAACGTCTTCAGGAGGGAAGAAGTGCAGCCCCACCGGCCCTCCATGCCCTCACTCCGCTACTACAAGCAGCATCTCAGAAAGGATTTCTTCGGTGAAACGCCCGGCCTCATTGGCATGTAAGTGAGACGACCCGGAGCAACGGTGAGAAGGGAAAATTTGTTTAATGGTCTGAATTCATTTTTAATTGGAAATCCCCGGGTTTGAATCTCGGCCAGAAGACTGGCTATTTGACTGAGACTCTGGTTTTCCTGAAAGTTTATAAACACAATAAGCTATACTGAAATAGACCAGGATTCGTTTGTTCTATATCCTTTCTAATTTATTACTCATAACTATCGTAGGTTACCATTTGCTCACCACAACGTATTCAATTGGAAACGCATAGTTAAATAATCAATCAAGAATGGAAAGGCGTATTCAGAGAAGTGCACATTTTATGAAACGGTGTTATTTGCAATTCTGAAAAAAAAATCTTGCCCACTGGGCACAGGCGAATTAAAACGAACGAGAAAATTACTTTTTAATCACAGTTTAAATACACTAGAGACTGGATTTTAAGTGATGGGTATAAACAGGTACTATTTTTGGATCCCCGAAAAACAGACCTTCACTTTCATTCACTGTTGATAGAAGTATATATTGTTCTTAAGTGAATTACACTACAGATACCATACTGCATAATTAGGCCAAATAGTTAGTTTCCTTTTGTCTAAAATTTAAAATCCTTTCTGTAGTGTAAATGTCGATTGTCTTCTGGGTTGTGTGTAACTAAAAAAAAGGTTTCGTTGGAACGTATCAACTCTATCTTCAGGAGAGTTCACTGCAGCGCTTCTCCTTAATTAAATACATAATCGCCATTTTCCTAGGATTTTGTTAAATATAAATTGTATAAAATACATTTTAAATAATAATATCTAATGGCATTTATATTATGTGGTATGCAGCAACATTTAATCGAGGGGGCGTCTTGGAGAAAATTTATAAAATTCTACTTGTGTTTATTGGAGCTTAAAGACGTGGACAGACTGTCATGTGATGTAACTCGGGTACCAAAGAAATATTTCTTTACTAGAAATTCTATTAGAGCGATGTAGCTGCCCATCCTCTGATTCAGTATCGTCACCTAGTAAGTTTTCTATGAGAAAGTAAAGATATGGGATCCTACGTTTAACAATATGCGAATATCGTCGCGTACGGGACTTAATTCTTTTCCGGGCAGTAGAGTTTCCATAATCCACAATTATCTTACCGCACCAAGCAATTCATATACGGGGTGATTCATTTAACGTGACACCAGGCCAAGACAGCATTCGACGGCAGCAGCAGCGTGAAAACTACCGGGATGTGAGTAAGTCACAACGCACACCACGGTCGTAGCATGCTAGTAGTTGGGTTTCGAGTTACGTGAAACATTCTGTACAACCACTGCAGTAAGATTCAAACGCTTGTGTTTCTCTACCACAGACATGGGCCCCAGTGGGACGAGTTTAGGAGCAAAGTACAGCAGGTGATGCTGCATTCTGGGGCCGCCAGGAAGTACGTGGGCCCACTCAACGAAGTGGCAAGCGACTTCATGACGAGGTAACACGAGCTCAATTAAACAGGGACTTTTTAGTGAAGTTAAATACTACTGCAACTGATCAAGAAATTCCCCACTTTCATAGAACCCAAAGCTTCATTACAGTATTTATAAAAAACCGACAAATAATATTATGAGGTTTTCACGACGGTGAGTCTGAATATTTCTGTCTTCCTTATTTTTCTAAGATCATTTTAATCTTCAATTTATGTCCCGGGCTCGCAATTAGTCTCTTATGGGGTTTACCAACGAAATTTCTGTTTATTTTTTATTGAAGTATGATGCGAAGTACGGATTATGCTACACTAATATGAACCACATTTTATTTTTCTTGTAAGCTTTTAGTGTAGACCCATGATCAATAATGTTGAATAAAATGTCCACGCGAATGATTCAAATTCAAATTTAAAGTTTTCACCATTATCTGTCAATTGTAGCATCAGCTTGGGCAATGTCCACAGACGACATTAAATAGGTGTGCCCCGCTGAAAACAGCTGTGATCGACACCAATATTACAGATAATGACTTCGGTCCCAGAATTAGAGACTGAATTGGTTAGCACGCAGGAGAAAATGACTGCGTCCCATTTGTTAACTCTATAATTCAGTTACATGAACATGGTCTTTGTTCCTGGATACGAAAGACTTAAGGCAAAAGTAATTCTGAATAACGAAGCAATCTGTAGTAGCACCAAATGCATAATAAGGGCGTGCGATGGTATTTAATAGTCTGCGAATTTAAACATGTAAATTTGAAAACTAATTTTATGTATAGTGTGTATATCTGCAATATTAACCATCTGATGTCTTTTTTCATATGTCACTTAGGATACACATCCTTCGAGACGAAAAAAATGAGTTGCCAGAAGACTTCCTTGGTGAAATTTACAAATGGGCACTAGAATGTAAGTAGTTTCATTGCAATATACTTCTCCATATACAGATTAAAATGTTTCTAGCAGCTACAAAAAGTGCTATCATTTTAAGTACGTAATAAATTAAGAATAATGTAATAGATTAATTTAAGACAGTGTTACTTTAATGAAGTCTTAGGATGGTTTTGTAACTGTAATAAAATAGCATACTTATTATTTGTCTGCTACCTGATAACTAATCTTGGTTGTAATACCAAGAGATCATCTTGGATAATATCTTAAATAGGTTATAATTGTTTTCATTCTAATCCCTACCCACGCACTACAGACAACATGATGTGTATCTACTGATCTCTTTCTACGTTTTATCTTTGTGATCGGAAAGACGGAATCAGGCAAATACGAATTACATTTGACTTACAGTATTATTAAAGACGTAACTCGAACACCATCGCTACATAACACAAGTTCGCTGTGACGTCATACTAAACCTGACTGGATATACTGGGTTCAATTCCCGGTAAAACTGTTGAAATTTATTGTCTTATCACCACACCAAGAACAGAAGTAGATCCGTCCAGCCTCTATCCAAAAATTATCACAAACTCTGTCTTTGAAACTTCTACGGCTGGTTAGCGAATCACCTGAGTCGCGTTTGGTTAGAAGAATGAATTACACTTAATTCAATGTCTTTTGTAACATGGCGTAGATAAAATAATACCGTTCAGGTAATTTATATTGCCCGGTAGATTACATAACGTCGTGGTAGGTTTCCAGTTAAACTGTGCCTCGTGTAAGGCTGCAATGAAATTTCTGTAGCCATAGAAAATTAGAGATAAAAGGATAGCAAAGTACCTTGTTTTTTTAGGTAACTGCACTGAACGTTTGATGGAAACAAAAATAAACCATGCAATATTAATGACTCAATAAACCGTTCAGTAATATAATGAACCAGAAGTAATACATAACAGCTGTTAGACGACCGCCGGGCAAGAGCATTTGTTATTATCGTGACTAATAAAAGACCTCCACTTGACTAGCTATGAAAAGTAAAAGTTTAACTTCTTGGTCTAGCATTTGAAACGTAACTTAAAGCAAACCGTAACATAAGTGACCTAGTTTCATGGTTCGCGTGATTGCACCAGGGCAGCTAATTAAATAAAAGAAACTATACTAAACAGTCGGTTCAAAGTCACGCATTACGATCTGACCGCGTCTTTAATTACCCTAACAACATTAAGAGATCAACTCTAACGTGTTTTATTGTAATGATTTCTACAGTTGCTTTACTCCTAGCCGACAACTTTGACTGATGGTTGTAGTTTTCTCATTTACCCAGGAAAATCTAAATACTCTCACTCAATAGTCACAGAGGCTTTACTACTTACACTCCCTAGCTATTCATAATAATCAACCTACCTTTTAAAGTCGTACAATCAAATCAGTATAGAACACATTGCTTCATAAACTGAGAAATATAAATTTGTTATTTCACGAGGCGTTAATTTATATTATAGTCTTAAATTCCTAAAATAAAGGCAGTAAGCTGCTTCGAAGCGTTAGCATCTACCTACAGGTCCAGACGGCTAAAGTTCGCACAAAACCAACATCGACAAAGAAAATTTACCTTCGAACATTTTCGTACTGAGACGAAACAAGCTGACGGACAGACATACACGACTTTTATTCTATACAGATGATGCACAGAACATGTGAAGACGATTACCTAACGAGGAATGATTCTCTGCACACAGCAATTGGCAGCGTGGCGCTGGACACAAGGCTTGGATGCCTGAACAGCGAAATTTCAAGCGATTCTGAAACGCGTCGTATCATCCAGTCGATACACACCTTCTTCGTGAATGTGGCTGAAGTAGAACTCAGGACCCCTTTCTGGAGGGTCTTCAGTACTCCCACATGGAAAAAATATATTGGAGCCCTCGACGTCTTCAGAGAGTGAGTAACATTAATACCGACTTACTTCTCATTCTAAAGCTGAATACAAGGCAACGCTTTTTGATTATCCTACAAAGACCTATAAAATATGTTCGTTGAGGTATATTTTTAGTATTTGTAGCTTAAATACTGGTTAGATCTCCGGGTTTGTCTCAAAATCAGATACACTTGAATACCTAAACGGAATTAATTATTAGACTGTGGTCCTTTGGGTTGTTACGACGCGTATGCTTATTGTACATCATTTTTTTCGGAAAACATGCTACCTCTGTCTTCGGGGTTAAGATATGTAGCTTTGGGGTTGTATAACAACGTTTCGGAGAAACAGACTATATCCATCTTCAAGGTTTAACCCCAAAATGCCACTACGAAACTCACACCTCAGTAAAAACCTAAAAAACTTGTGAATTTCTGATATCCCTTCTCAAACACATTTCATTAATTTTTAATTGATTCCAATGACTGTGTGTATATTAGATTAAGATATTAAACAGACGCAACGTTATGAAGTTCGTAACAATTTAAACTATATATCAGGGGCTTTTAAAGATGTTGCATATCCTGTTTTTATATATTTTCTTCCATATAAGAATATATCTGTGTATTTTTTTTCATATTCCGTTCAACTCATCAGTTGATTTAATCGTCCTAAAACGTGAATCCACTTTAACTACATTATCCAGTGTCAAAGTCTTTTGTATTTGGTCCAGGCTGTGTATGAAGTACATAACAGAAGCAGTGGACCGTCTGAGCCAAGAAGGAACGGGGACAGATGAAGAAATGTCCATTATAGAGAAAATCATCAAGAAGACTTCCGACCCCAAAATTGCCGCAGTTCTCGCTCTTGACTTGCTACTTGTGGGGGTGGACACAGTACGTAGACACTTACTTAGCAAGTATCCAGAAAATTCTCATCTATTGACCACCTGCTAATGATTTCCCGTAAGGGCGATGACTATTCCTTAAATAAGAATAATATGCGGGCAGGAACACAGTTAATTAATATATATTACAGCGTGTATAATTTCCTAAAGGTGAGATAATATTGCGGCATGTAGCACGCATAAGGGAGATAAAAAATGAGAACATTTATGTTGAAAACCCTGAATAAAATAAACGTCTCGGAAGAACTAGGCCATGGTTGGATGATATCATTAAAATTGGTCTTAAAGAAATAGGGCTGGCAAGTGTGGCATACGTGTATTTTAGAATAGAGACAAATGGCGGGTTCCATAAAAAACAGAGAACTTCTTGAGTTTCTGATCGACTAACTTCTGAAGAAGGACTCTGCTCCATGGGGGTGAGTAGGTCAGTTTGTTAGTAAGAATGTGAGGACGTTAGTGGTTGAATGTGATGAATGGCGTTCAAGAAACAGGCTATAAAAACGACATTTTAATAACATAGGGAAACGTGCCGTGTTAAACACCGAAGATGTCCGGATGGCTAGCGAATGGGTGGACGTGTTTCTATATTTATACCGACAGAACTACATTGTACTTTCTCTGAATCTACGGCCACTTGCATGGTAACCAAAACACGTATCTATTTTACCTTTTTTTTACCTTTTTACGTTAGGGGTGGATTTGTATGTAATCCGAGCGGATATACCACAGCATCTGGTACATACGAAATCAGTTCCCAAACATAGATAACCGTATCTTCCTGCCTGCAGATGTACAGTCTCGACCATGTTAGACATTACCTACACGATAAGTGAAATGCAGCGGTTGTAATCATTTTCATATTTTTCCTCATTCACTCTAAATCATGGGTTTTCAAACTTCTTAAAACCTGGGGCTCAAAATCATGCCTTATCGACGTACGGGCTGCAAGGTTATACAAAAAAAATTTACTAAAACACCAAGGCATTCTGTTTAAAATATTACCAAGACACGCCTATTATCTATTACAAAGTTTCACATTCTACTCTATAATTTTCTTTAATAAAATCAGTCGTTGTTGAGATATCTGACTATGCTTTTGTATGTGTAGTCTCTTCCTAACAGCCAATGTACCCCACGCTTGATTGTAGACTTCGTGGTTCGTGCGACGCTAAAAAAGGGTATTAAGTTCTGAAGATAGCGACTCTAGTAGCAAGAAATGCCACAAGGGCTAAGGCGGCGTTTGACCAAACTTCTGCCTTGTCCGACCTGCTCTCGTATCTCAACAATCTTACCTTCGCGTGTGGCTTACTCATAACCCTGATGATGGAAGCAGTAAGCACTTTTGAAACGCCGGTAAATTTCTACCAGACTACACGGAGTAACTTCCCAGAATGCAGTAATATTTCTCTGAACCTGCTTCGAACCCTCGATTACAATGTGGTCAGAAATGTGCCTATGGAATTAGTTGAAGAATTTCAAGAGGGATATTCTTTTACAAAGGCGGGGATTTTGTTTCCATGCATAATAAACCGAATCTGCTTCCTATGTATTTCAACCGCTCTGAATCTGCCTTTTCTTTCAAGCCACAGGCACAACCCTTAATGCTTATTTCGTAAATAATTCATTATTCATCCTGCCATCATTATTACCACAAGCAAAAATACGTGTATTTATATAATTTATATATTTTACGCAGACGTCTATATCAGTGAGTTCATCACTGTATCAGCTGGCGAAGAACCCAGAAAAACAGGACAAATTGTACAGAGAACTTGAAACAGTGCTACCAACTCCAGAAACACCTGTAGATGTGAAGTGCCTAGACAAACTCACATATCTAAAAGCTTGCATCAAAGAAACATTAAGGTAAGTATAAAGTAACTATTTCAAACCCTCGACGGGTTGCATGATCGGGGATCCCCGACAGAGGCAGAGGATTTTCTTTTAACCTCTGCGGTTCGTAGTGATGTAAAGTGTATTATTTTGAATCAGAACTAACTAAAGAACTGGCTTTTTCATTAAGATACGTCAAAACGTCGGATTCCAGTCCCCGGTCAAATATTTAGTTAATTATATATCGCATGTCCTGTTTCAGGATGTACCCTGTAATAATAGGCAATGGAAGGAGTCTCCAGTCAGATGCCGTAATTGGAGGATACAGAATACCAAAAGGCGTAAGATATCTTTAAGTATTCTACAAGTTTTATTGTATCTTTCTTGGCTTACGTAACCATACAGTCGAATTGCAGGGCAGATGTAATTTGCTAATTTGAAACGATATTGGTTGAAAAGGTCGTGGCATATTTTAAGAAAATATTCCAACTTTTGTATTCAAAAACAGTAGAAAATCATGAAAACCTTATCGGAATAGTAGATCCCAGGCTGATTACGGCCTTGCAACTCACTAGCCGAAGAAAGATGGCGATTCTATAAACAGCGAAGTTAATTTTAAAATGTAAAAAATGGTTTATCCTAAATGCATCGTGACTTTGTCCGCAGACACACATCATATTTCCTCATCTCGTAGTGAGCAACATCGAGGAAAACTTCCCAGCGCCTGACCGATTTCTACCTGAACGATGGCTCAAATCCGATCAGTGCCCCCTCACAGCCGGAAGCAAGATCCACCCCTTCGTGTCACTGCCCTTCGGGTTTGGGCGTCGAACGTGTATCGGGAGGCGATTCGCGGAGGCAGAACTTCACATCCTACTTGCCAAGGTACGTCATGCACTCATATTTACACGCAGCGATTATGAACACGAAAGAAACTCATAGAAATTTCCATCTTATATGAAGTTGCGCTTTGAGGTTTCATGGAAACTGACCGACGTTTCAGTGGTGCTTATTGCCTCCGTCATCAAGGCACAGACGGAGACAGCAAGCACCTCTAAAATGTCAGTAAACGTCTACTAGACAACAAGACAATATCCCAGAAGACAGTCAAATTTTTAGCCTACAGACCTTACAAAATTATACGACTTTTATTTGAAACATTTTTCAGGAGGATTATCATTTAACAAAGTACGACAAAAATAATTGGTACCAATGCACGTGGAATATGTAATTGGATAAGACATGCAGCACAAGATTATCAATCGGGAAACATAACCTCTAAAAATCACACTATAACAATTCGGTACATCATACCACTCATTCTGATCTTACTTCTGATAACACTGGGCACAATTCCAAACAGGGCAATTTTCTTACTACACCAATTTCTTTTTATTTTCAGATATTTCGAAAGTACCGCGTGGAATATCACTATGAAGACTTCCGATACAAGATATGCCCTACGTATATTCCAGAGAACCCTCTCAAGTTTCGTCTCATTGAACGACACGACTTACGTCACAACTAGGACACTTCAATGACGTCTCAGTGACCGTCTTATTTACCCACGAAACGTCCTGGGCTTAGGCACGAACATCCAGGATTCTGTGCCGAATGTTCTGCTATTTTTTAAAAAGTGTTTCGAAACGATGGTGAGAATCGTGGAACATATCATGCATAAACCATAATTATTTCAGTCATACAACACAAATGAAAAACATGTGAATTGGGAGGTTGAGATGTAGGTTGGACGATAATGTCAAAGCGCGTCTTAAGTAGGGTGTGAGGATTTGAGAGGATTCACTCGGCACAGGACAGGATGCAGTGGCGAATTCCTGTAAATACGGTAAATAATCTTCGAATTCCATGCAAGGCCATGAATTTATTATCCAACTGAATAAGACTCAGTCTCTAAAAATGACTCAGCTCTATGGAGTTATTTAAGTTGTTATTAATTGTAGTAATTAATTTCACACACACTGCCTATTTTTGTAGTACTGGTATAGAAACTCCGTTTTGTATATTTTTAATGTTCGACCGCTGAAAAAAATTTAAAAACTTATATAAAACGAGAGAACGGCATGAAAGTCGCGAGAAAATCGTGTTCGATTAATCGATTTTAAGGTTATAAAATAGTGCCAGTTATTCAATGTACTTGCCATTCTATTTTAAGAATTAAAATGGAACAAAAACATATTCGCTTACCGACAGCTGCTAAACAGAAAATATGTTGGTGACGAGAGCTTCACTTACCTAGAAACAAAGAGAATGCACCAGTTAGTATTTAGTCTTATCTTAGGCAGATACTAACGTTTCGGGGAGAATACTGTCTCCATCTTCAGGAACAACACCGTTACTTCAACCCTGAAGATGGACACAGTATGTTTCTCCGAAACTATGATATTTACCTGCGAGTCTATATGGAATCCCACAGCAACATTATCATCGATATCCATAAAATTACACACCCACGCTCGAAAAGAAAGAATAAATAGAGACCTAGGACAAGACATAAGGACTTCCGTTTCTCTGAACCTTGGACACAACTTAAGTGCATTGAAGGCGTGTACAAGAATAAATTATCTCCATAATTACCAACTTTAACTGTTTGAATTTAATTAACAGACTATCAATGTATGAATTAATGAGGCAATCCAGAATCAGCTACGGGTTTGCATGCAATAACTATGAAGATTTCAAACACGTGCCCCAGAATTCGACTGGGGCGACATCTACCGGCTAGTTATAGCGTTAAAGCCATCGATCCAATGCTGGTCGGAGGCCTTCGACAGCTCTTGCCACCTATCGGAGAGATGTGCAAACGCTTAGCTTGTAACATGGCAGAACAGGAGTGCCGTAACAGTGGCACCACTGTCAAATTAAGCACAGACTGAGATTAGGCTAGAATTGGTGATAATATTAACTGCATGAAAATAATTGTTCACCAAGTATTTTTTGTATAGATCTTTGCTGTCACCTAAAGTTTCTACATTTAATATAAATAATTCTGGTTACCTACAGAAAATTGTAATATTAAAATGCATTAATGTATTTTCCTTTGTTTTCCTCATATTACCAAATATTTTCATTCGTGAAGCACATTCGATTGGCTATTAATAATCTGTATCATAAAACAAAATTCGTGTTGTTGCTTTAGTTCCCAAAATAGCCACACACGAGCAAAAGCGAAGAAACACCGTGAAGTAGCTTCTCGAAAAGTCGATACAGAATTGAAATTCAAAATTTATCACAAATCAAACACTTTCTTTAAGAAAAAATCATAAACCGCCAGCCTCTACACACTTGTATTTTTTCAGAACTTTCTGTACCTGTTGGCCCTTCTTCTCCAAGACGCTTTATCTGACTACCCCTAAGGTACCGAAATTTTACACGGAGTTTCGCGGGTATTTCCAGGGCGATGGCCCCGATGGTAAAGGAGATCAAATTCTGCCCGTCTGCGAGGCGAAATATCACAGAAGAGAGTCATCCTATTGTTATATTTTTATGCATCATCAAAGGAATCTTAAAACTCTTGTGATAGAATTACAAAATTTACAGGTTTATATAAAATATGAGTCACAGACGGTTAACACCACCATTACTGCCAACATCATCACGACGAAAAGTGTGTTACCACTTTGCTACAAAGCTGGCACACCTGTCTCCCTGTCTGGCGAATTAATTTAACCAGTAACCGGGTGAAAGCATTATATCGAGAGGTATTGATTGCCACCAAACAAAGCCTTCACATATTTCATGTTGTGTTCATATTTCAATAAAGATGCATTGTTCATTTATGACGTGTGTTGTGTTCGTCAGGACAGAGACTAACCAGGGAGGTGTTTACATTTCTGGTAGGGAGCTTGCCCTCCATTCTGTTTAAATGTCAGCGCCTGTTACACTTGTTCTAGCGAGTTCTCTTTACCTCTGTAAATTAACAAACAAACAAACTAACTAACTAACTGAAATAAACCAACTGATAAAATTAAAGAAGGTAATTATTACGGCATAAAAACATAATAAACAAAACCTAACTGATATAAAATAGCCACGTAAACAAACTGAACGAATTAGCTAAATGATTGAGCTAATCTACTTTGTGCAGATCCTTAGGGTTCACCACATGTGTTACAAATGCCCGCAAATGGACACGATTCTGAGCCACTACTGTCCGATACTAGTCCTTCTAGTCTAGTTCCCTAACACACATCTTAATGTTCACCTCTCAAATATACTTCTTGGTTTTAGAGTGACAGCTTTCTAAAAGGCATATCCACCAACATTTTGTATGCACTTAGAGTCTCTCTATAAACCTAAAAAAAGAGAATAATGCTTACAATTATTTTAAAGATTTTTAGCAAAAGCAATTACAGTTCATCAAAATGTGCAGTAATTTATGTAAAATTTACAGAGCTAATGGCGACTGAGTATCAGTTGAAACATGAATCTAACAACAAGAGTTTAAAAGTTGCGTGTCCATAAATCGACGGAGTTTCAGCAAGAAAATAAAAACTGAGAACACACCAGGATACCACTGTGCTGTTAACAACAACGACCTGTTTTATTTAAAAATAACGTTCTCCGTCATCACACGAATTCAAGGCATGAGCCCATTGGCCGTTCTCGTCACATTGAAATTGGAATGTAAAATCCCAAATTGCTAACTTTCGTGGTCACTTTTCTGTCCAAATATAATATTTTCCTGAGAATTTTTTAAAACACATAACTTCTATTCTTTCCTTAAACAAACCGCATTTCAAAGCCACACAAAATAAATGTGAATGTAGCCAAAAATGGGAGATTGGAGGAAACATTAAAACTGATATGAAAAGTTTGATGTTTCCTTCTAATCGCCACACCCAGCGTCTCTTCCTCCCCTCGGACTCATTACTTATACTATGACGTCATTTCATCGCGAGGCGATGATCCCCCTGGATTTCCACATGCAGTTAGTTAATAACAAGAGTTCCAGCATTTACGTAACGACCAGCAATCTCACTCAAAAAGATGGATAGCAGAAAGAAAATTTCTGAAAGCTTCTTCGGGGAATAAACAACTAATGCAGATTCTAGCCAGATTTTCATGGCCTATTTTTTAAGAACGAGTTCTTCAAAATATTCACTTTGGTTGACATAATAATAAAAAACAACAACAGTAATAATAATAATATGCAGATGGCTGTTTCTGCGTTGTAGAGCTATGTAGTCTGGTAGAATATAATGAACAATTCATCACCCTGATGATGGAGGCAGCAAGGACCTCTGAAACGTTGGTAAACTCCAACCAGACCACATGACGCTACAATCCAGGAGACAGCCATTTTCATAGGATTTGTCTATTTTCCACAACTGCGTTTAGGGCGATTGTAGAGCTCAAACAGTCTGAAACACACCGAGTATCTGAAATTGTGTCATTGGGGGCAAAGACTGCCTTCCGTCTTCTTTTAACAGTGTTTTAGAATTTATTATATTTTTCTCAACGACGTCCTGGTGATGCAAAAGAAATTCTCCCTGTACGTGATACACCAGCCATAAAGGCACGTAAGGGGATGCAAATAAAGCGACAGCCATTTCATATTTGTGCATTTGGTGCATTTTTACCACCAGAGAAAGTCACCTGTACTCCACTGTGATTCGATGACACACCGACCCCTACCCCGAGACGGCGTAAACGTAGTGGCTAAAAGGATTATCCTATTCCTTCTTGGAATCGAAATCCGATCATTCAGCCACTCACTGAGTTATCCCGGCTCTCAGCCTTCTAACGCTTTAAAGCACATCAGTGCTACAGGTTGGTTTAAAAGTCTCTGCGCGCATACACGCCCTAGGTGGTGCATGTGAGTTCTGCGTCACGTGACGGTATGGCATTGACCGTGACCTACCTACAGCCAGTTGTGTCGCGTTGCAACCAAACGTTCACGATGAGAAACATTTGTTTTCTGTGGCACGGGGACTTTTAAACCACTTGCTTTAAAATTAAATAACTTCGTATATCAACGATATTTATGAGATGGTAAAGTTGCGTCATATTGTGATATAATAAATATATATTATTTAAATGGTCTAATGTAAATCGAATATTTCTATAAAGAACATCATTTAATATTTTAAATATTTTAAATGTTAATTATTGTAATATTTTAATATTTAATAAGAATTTATTGTGATTAGACGGACAAGATTTAAATAATATAAACGATATTTATCTAAATAGCTTTAACCAAAGTGATATTCGTAATTAAGACGCACTGTGTTTTTCATAAGATAGCAAATTAAGATGTAACATGAACTTTCTGCTTCTGAAGTGTTACAACACCACTTTTACCTCCGAGTCAAAATTTAACCCGTCGTGACTTGAAACTGAAATGCGATCAATAAAACAGGACCACCTGTTTGACATCCCCTGCTTTCTGGCACGCTCCTTATAGCAGTATACAGATCGCGTTACACGAATGCATTAAAACAAACAATCATTCATTCGATGATAAGAGAATCTTTAATTATTGGCATCACAATTTACGTTGTAGAAACGAACTTCATTAATGTGCAAAATAAATAATCTGTGTGCTGAAGACGTTAAGATGGAAACGAATAAGATACGTTTTAAAGAGACAACGAAAAAGGATGATATAAGATAATAAAGGAAAGCGAAGAGAGTAACAGCAGAATGCAGAGAAATTGGATAATTATTAGGAAGCATACAAAACGGAAGGTGAAGACAGTCTGGATGTCGTTTATGAAAATTTTAGACTGCCATATGAATCCAAAGCTCGACTATAATATTTAAACATGCAGTCCATACCGCAAAGAAAACACTCTTAGGCTTCAAAGGGTTAAGCCGTATATCCAGAGTGGAAAATTACGCCTGATATTTTAATAATGGTACCGCAGGTATATTAACTCCATCTTATTTTAGTCTACAGGTTCATATTATTTTTAATTGGCCTGATTAAAACAATTAGTTGTCTTGTCTTGCAGAAATATTTGTTTGCCCAGTACAGAACATCTTTTAATCACGCGGGGAAGGAATTCCGCGAATTTCTGCAACTGCCGTACTGACTCAACACGAATTTATGTCTACAGCTGCAGCATGGCCGTCCTCTCGCATTCATGCGCCACAACACGAACTACAAACTTCATTATCACGATCCACAGCATTCACAAACTTTGGTATCACAAACCAAAATCATCTTCATGATTATAAAATATTCTTCGACGTTTTCTTCACCTGCATCTCAGTCCAGACCTTCACTTTTATCTCCTTTCTTCCACCTTTATTTCAATACATTTCTTCTCCATTGTCACGTCTCTTATAATATCCATATTTATTTCTCTCTTTGTATTTCCCTGCGTTATCGCCATCGTCATCTTGACCTATATCTTAAGTTTCGTTTACATTTATGTTTCCTAAGCAATCTTATTTATTTACTTTTTGATATCAAACCCCTCTGTCTCTATCTGCACCTTCATTTCCATATTTATCTCCACCTTCAAATTTCCCGCTGTATCTTCACCTTTATCACCACCTCTGTATTCACATCCGTTTTTATCTCACCCCCTTGTTCATCTTAATCTCCACCTCAATTTTAATCTCCAGATTTATTTATATTGTTATCTTTATCTCCATCTTTGCTCTAAATTTACCTTCATTTCTGTTCCAAATTTTCAGAATTAGCACTAGAAGAAAAAATGGTCTCTCAATTACTGGATTGAGAACAGGCCCGTACATTCATCAGAATATACCAGTAAACTCTTAATGACATCAGAAATAAATATTCTATAAATCAGCATCGGATACCCAAATTTGAGTTACTGGTGGGTAAGACGGATAGGAACATTACGTATTCTGAGACAGATTTTCTACAATACGACTCGGGCGACAATTACAGGCAATGTTGAGCTGAACACTCAGACTGAATGTTTTGAAGAAATTCTTAAGACTCAGAAGATAAGTTTTGTATTGTCACGCCTGCTGCAGGGATCCAAATCTGGAGAGACAGTTCTGACAGGTTGTACAGAGATTTGTTTTCAGTATCTGTCCAGCCTCTTGAAACGAGACAGGGATTGGAAATTATAATTACTATTTGGCGAACACAACTTCCAATTACAAGCCGACGGCTGTCTGCTCTGAGGCATCAGCCAAAAGCCGAATGCAGTACGTGACAGTTTTAATAAAAGTAATCGGGCGAATTCATACGCGTGTAGGTTTTATAAATGTAATTGTTTAAAAGCTATCAAACTGTCAACAGTTCTTTCATCTTATAAAATATTGTCTTTCCATGTGGAATTTTATAAACATCATGCGATAATTTTATATTTTTATACGTCAAAACACGTTGAGAAATGTAATTATGTGTTGTTGAGGTTTCTCAAATAACTACACACAGGCTACTGTAGTACCTTATAGTAGCATTTTCATATAGTGACAGCAAAAATAGCCTACTAGCAATTTAAAAATATACGCAAAACTTAAAACCCAAAAACGACATATGAATCACATCTCTTAAAACGTTAATCATTCCAACATTTGAGGCAGAGAAGCTGGTAACCAGTTTATTTCTCATTCTGTAGGTGAAAAGACAATTTTTAGTGAAACATCATCAAATAATAATAACGAGGTCTCTCATCATTGAACGCTTGATACAAGAACACCATGTAAGTTCAGTGTGAAATGTTAGAGCGATAAATGCATTTTGTTTCTTTTTCGCTTCGACTACAGACTGCCGTGTTTCCTTTGTTCTTACAAACTAGTTACGAAGTGCAAGAATGGAGCAACACAAGACGAGAGATGTAACTCA